TCTTTAAACACCACACATTTACATGTACGTCATGTTGTCTAACCCTTCAGATCCATCAAAATGATCGTTCATCAAATCACACCTCTTGTAGGCCTGCATGTGCTTTATCATGTCTACTTGGCCACAATCAGAGAGAGAGACACTGGTCTTAAATGAATAGAAATTACTAACATTATCTCTGTAGAATATAAGAAATATCTTATGTCACTCGAGGAATGTGCTTATTTACCCCCAATGTCTATGTGTAATACATACAATGTGCTTGTCACATGGTCTGAGAAACAACTTTCGCTCCCTTTTCAATCCGTTTCAATCCTTAGATATCAGACAATCCCCAACACAAATAATGAACTCTAAATGAACTTGAATATATGAAGATTCCATATTTGATTACAAAAATGGAAAGTACATACCTGTGAGATGAAAAAAGAAGATTTTCTTTGGACCTTTATTGTTTCATGGAAACTTTGCTCATTGACTTTTAATGACATGTCAATGAGACAAGATGAACAGTGCCCTCTATCTTCCAAAAGTCACAAGTATACCTAAAAAAAGTTGGGGGCCTCAATTCTGATATGATTTTGAGAGAATTTGATGTACATTGTTCAAATGAGGCAAAATACATAATTCATAGCACATTTTAGCATAACATACATTTACTCAGGAAATGTGAGGCCGGTAACAGCAGTCATATGGGTGCCAACGATTGCAAATCTATAGATTAAAAACCGTTGGTCAAAACAGTGTTAGGCATTTGTTATTTGCCCAACCTTGGATGAGGCTACCACATTGTTCGTCCATTTTCCGTCACTGTTGGTCAAACATTGACCAAATATTGGGAAGAAATTGCGTAAAGGTCGCTAAGTTAATATTTTTTACCAACATTGGGCAAAATATCAACCCAAAATTGACCAACCTTTTTACAGTGTTGGGCCAGAGAGGTATTGTATTGGCTTGGCATGTCTATGCAATTAGAAGACGTGTAGCAAACACTCTGTCTGCTTGGAACACAGGAAATCCATGATTCCGCACCACATACCTGACCGTGCATGGGCCAAAGTTGGAACAGATTTGTTCTATTTGAACACGCAGATGTATATTATAGTAGTAGATTAATACTCAAAATTTCCTGAAATAATGAAATTTCATGACACAACGAGTAGTAGAGAATGGCCGGTGACGGACCACCCTCGACCTAGGCTCAATCAGAGGCCGAATCCAGCTTAGGACCAATCTTAAAACTTGAAGAAAAAATCTTCCAAAAATTTTTCCACCCCAAACTTACGGATCTTATTATTGCTACCCAATTCGAATACGCCAAGATGGTGGTCGCGCACGCCGCTTGGCTACATACTTGTTTCGGCATCCACCACCACCGTCGCCGCCGCCGACGAGGAGGATGACGTCATAACTTAAGCGAAAAAAAATATCTGACGACAGCAGCATCGCATCTGATTGGTGAGGGAGACAAAACCGACCATCTAGATAAAATTGGTCTCGTTCCGAAACAAGACCAATAAAACATTTGGGAAATTTTAAACATACATATGAAATTTATAACATATTAGAATATAGACATAATCCTTACAGATATTATTCATGGAAAAAATCATTTTTTTGGAGTACAATTTAGGCTAACTGTATCGCGTTCCTTTTAATACCTCCACCGCGCCGGCCTGGACGATATACGCGTGAGGAATAGAGACAGGCCATCAGAGAATATCTAAAACAATGTAAATACTTGGAGCGCAAGTCAGACCAACAGTTACTCCAAGTGACACAGAGAAACAATTTACGATCGATCGCTACGGGTAGAAACAGTCACATGCTGCGAAAAGATCTAATTGCAGTAACCAAAGCTTATATCCATCTGGAATCGTTGGACGAAATATACGTTCGAGAAATCAGGCGATTTCAAGGTGGTTTTAGAAACTGCAAAATGTGACCGCGTATTTTAAAGAACGATCTAAAGCACTTTTTGCTTCACCGTGCAAAAAAGAAATTGAATCAAAAGCATGGACCGAATTACGAAACTTAGCAGCTTACAAATTACAAACAGCGATCAAAGTTCGATTTGCAAAAGATAGACCGGACCAAGGAGACACTTTTACAGAAACGTTTACGTTTTATAGCGCAAAGATCACGGCGTTTCACGAACAAGACGTCAAGAACGTATTGGAAGAACAAAAAGAACTACTCTTAGATCAAATAAATCGATTTGTCCACAACGGATCGGGACGGGTACTCGACGAAAGCATTGCGTTTTATATCAACGTGACACTTTATGGTCCATTGGGTTGAAGTTACATCGATTTACCTTAATATTTCGAACTCAAAGATGTGGTTATAAATGTGAAAAACAACGATTACGAATGCATACGTTGGGCGACCTGTGCGGCTCTTGGGCTTTATACCGACAGAGTTAAACGTCAAATCGAAACTAATTCAAATTACAGAATACACGTAAAGATAACCACTATATACAAAAATCTAACGGCTTAAACTTAACAGGCATAGACTATCCAACACCTGTGTCTCAAATTCCACAAATCGAAGCGCAGAACAACTTGTTGATTAACTTATATGGTTATGACGCAAAGAATGGATCATTTCCTACTCTCTATGTTTCTAAAACGTTTCAAATGAAAAACACATCAATCTATTATACATTACCAATGGTTGTAAGGCGCACTACTGTTGGAATAAAATATGTCGCGACTCATGTCGAGCATTATAAATAAACATTTACCAATTTATCAGTGCTTTAGCTGTCAATGCTATTTGAAAACTGCCTAAATTAGCTCGACACAAAAAATACCTTTGATTACCCGAAAAAGGCGAAAACAAATTAAAATTCAAATTGAATGATTACAAAAATATATAAGCCG